ATATAAACAATGATCTCCATACATAAGAGGATGTCGTCCATTGATTTGAGGAAATTATATCCTTTTGAAGTAATTTTTTTAAAAAAGAACAAATAGCACTGGGAAATACTTCCTATGAGAACTGAGTGTGTTGATTAAGTGGTAGGATGGGAAAATGGGAAAATGAAGAATAGGGAGAATCTGGCAGTATTATGGAAGAGTACATGGCTAAGTGAAGAGAACTTTCCACAACAGCATTTTGTGCTCATGCTTGTTTTCTCTATTCCTGATGTTCTGGCTTGAATACCATTCCTTGTGCAATAGGAATGTACTGGCAAGCTTGGAGAGGGATTTTAACATTCTCAATATATATATATAGGTCTTTAGTTATTCGGGTTTTCTCCCACGTAGAATTAGAAGTGTCTTGGCGACGTTTCGACGAAGTCTCATTCGTCATCTTCAGGCTGGTGTCTTCAGCTTCGTGCTTCTAGGAGTAATGTGTGATCGCAGCTGTTTCTTCCTTTTAACTGCCAGTGGGGTTTGAGCTGATTGTGTGGGAGCTTGGCTGTGTTCTGATTGGGTGGAGGTGTGTTCTGATTGGTTAAGGAGCTTGGCTGTGCTCTGATTGGACTAACTCAGATTAACTCAGACTAACCAGACTAACCAGAGCACAACAAAGCCCCCACCCAAACAGAACACTCCCTCAGCCAATCAGAGCACAGCCAACCCCCCAGCCAATCAGAGCACAGCCAAGCTCCTATTGGTTAGTCTTGTGTGGAGGTGGGTTAGTCTTGTGTCGGTTCGAGGGTGGGTTAGTCGAGTTTGGGGTGACCGTCAATTTTCCTTCTTTGTCGTCGCTAGCGTGTGATGAGGGTCTTCGTGCTTCGACTTCTGTGGTCGGACAAGATGACGAATGTGACTTCGTCGAAACGTCGCCAGGACACTTCCAATTTTACGCAGGAGAGAACCCGAATGACCAAAGACCTACATACAAACACCCGTGAAAACCTCAGAAAACATATATATATATATATGTATATATAACAAATGACACTTAAAACAGATGAATGATCCCTGGGCATATCCATAGTGTTCACTTTTATTGTTTTACTATATATATATATATATAGTACTATATATATTTTATTGTTTTACTATATATATATATATATATATATATATATATATATATATATAGAGAGAGAGAGAGAGAGAGAGATAGATAGATAGATAGATAGATAGATAGATAGATAGATAGATAGATATAATCATCAAAGGAAGCAATTTCTAAAGGGGGAAACTTCCATAACCACCCAGTTAATTGATTACTTAGTAAGGAGGTGCAAGGGTAGGGACTGTGCCTGTGAAGAACTGTATAATGGAGAGGAGATTTGGTGTTTAGATGTACTTTTGGTTGCATCTTTGAATATCAAATTTCCCTAGAAGAATCTGGCTGCTGCCAACAAAATAGATTGCTTTGGGTTAATGGAGAAAGTCTTGCTTTTGCATTACTGGTTGAAATCATCTGTACATGACTCTAACCAGTCATTCTCCTGAAAACATAATCAGTGCTGTTACCTCTTTCCTCTTTTGTGTAGGCTTGAGAATAATTTTTAACTGTTTGGAATATGGTGCTTTTTACAGTGCTCCTATGAACAGAGTTATTCCTTTTCTTTTTAAAGTAGTTATGCTACCATAAAATATTAGATCTGGAGAGGACTGAAAGTATTTCAGTTAAGACTCCTGCTGGATCATGTCAAGGTCCTGGCTAGCTCAGCATGTCCTTTCTGCAGTAGACAGCCATAAACTCTTGGGCACTGAAAAGCAACATGTATGGCTAATACCTTTTCCACACTGGCATTCAGATACATTTAGCCACCAAATGAGATACTATAGGACGAATATCACATTTCAGTCTCAAGCTTCTCATTTTTCCAAATCTATCAAGTTTGTTTTTCCCCCAGTTTCTCATTTTGACGAATCTACTGATTGTTGGACTTGAGAGTGTTTTCTGAAATTAAAGTTCTTACTGAAGTTTCAGTGCAATTTTTCCCAAACGTCTCCTTTCTGTTAACGATTCTGCCTATTATAATTATTAGTTTGCATTTTTCCCCAATATAGTGCTGTAAATGCTGTATTATTAGTTGTATTTCCAAGGTATCTCAATAATCTGACTGAAATATTCTCTGGTTCTATAATTTGGGTTAAAAGAAACACATCGTAGTCAAAAATAAAAAACCAATTACATATGCAATAGTTGTGCACTCAGGATATCAAATATTCTAAAATACATTATTAAAATGGTTGCTGATCTGGAGGAATAGTCATAACAGCCCTTTTCCTGAGGCTTGGTGAAATAATGCGTAAATGTTGTTTTGTATTAACTCTTCATTAATATATCAAAAGGAAGCATATAGCACCCCCCAAGGTTACACTTAAAATGGGAAAAATATCTTGGTTTCATTATGAATAGTATAACTGAGACAGACTTTTTGGAAGGTTGTCTAAACATTCTTTGGGAGGACTTGTCTAAAATTCTGAGCTGTCTTCTTTTCAGGGAAATATGTACTTTGATTAGCAAACTGTATTGCAAAATTTAGAATAATCCAATTTGAAATGATAACCAAACTTAGGTTTGTGCATTGGTTTTAAAAGGCAAACTTGTTAAGAGTGTATTCAAATGTGAATTAAATGAACATTCCTCCTACTCCTAACAATAACATTCCTAAACATTTATTCTCAGTAGATGCGGATGATTTTTAAAGACATATAAGGTAGTGTCTATCACTATATTTTGCGACCGAAATCCATAGTTTAAAAATGTGCTATGTAAAAAAAAACCAATAATTCACTTCCTTTATCCCGAATCCTTACCAATCAGCTTCACTGAATGATCTCAGATTCTGCTATTATGAGAGAGAGAGAAAGACACCTTTCTAATCACTTCCACTCTGTGTAATTTTATAAAGTATAATTTCATCCTTTTCTGAAGCAGCCCAGCCTTTTGCAGGATCACTTCTCAATTTCCCGCCTATAGGACAGTTAACACAAGAAATGTTTTCTGATTACAATGTGCTCTAGATGCTGCTGGATCAGACATATTAAACCTTACCAATTTTTTGTTTCGTTACATCTTCCAAAGGACAAGGAAGGGTTAATTGAACTGACTTAAATTTGCCACTGGGACCTGCATATCTGTAGCAAGGTTTCTTAACCTTTACTTATGTTATTTAGTACAGCATGTCCACCCTACCCCAGTTCCCCTTTTTGTGCTGCCTTTGCTGTAAAACATGGAAGGAAAGAAATGCAATGTGGCAAATTCAATGAAATTGGCAGAAGAGTCTGGGAATTGTGAGAATGCAATAGATTGCATCGGATTATAGCCCATGTAACCTGATCTAATTGTTTGAATGAACTGGTTGAGGCTTATTGAATTTGGGCAGGGCATTAAATTTTTGACCCACACTATAATTTAATAATATATTGGATCTTCTCGACCTATGTATGCAATGCAAAAGAAAATGTCCATACAAAAGAGTGATAACCTAGTGAAGAAAACAAACACTGAATATATTATAGCGGTTCAATGAATTAAACATAACACAGACAATTAACAAAATGAAAAGCTGCAACGATAAGCATAGATATTTACATGAAATTAATTCAGTTGTGCTTACTAAAGCACATGGGCCATGTAGCAACATACTGTGTCCTTTTTGTCATTTTTCAGCACAAAGGTTTTTCAAAAATAAAGAAGAAACTGACATCTCAGATTCATTTCTTCAAGTGATTTTCTTTCTATTTTTCTACCTGTAATTTGAACTGGTAAAAATTTATATTGGTCTAGTGCCTACCCCCTGTCTAGTGGGACTATTTCTCCAGTGCAGAAAGGAGACCTAATTGGGATTACAATTACCATGGCACTGAAAGTTACAGCAGCATTGAAAAGGTGATTTATGACCATCTTTCATAGTTATGACTATTGAAGCATTCCCATGGTCATGTGCTCAAAATTTGGACACTTGGCAATTGGCACATATTTATGGTGGTTGCGGTGTCCCAGGGTCATGTGATCCCCTTTTGTGACCTTCTGACAAGCAAAGTCAATGGGGAAACCAAATTCACTTAACAACTCTATTAGTAATTTAACAACTGCAATGGTTCAGTTAACAACTGTGGCAAGAAAGGTTGTACAACCTCATTTGACAACTCTGTCACTTAGCAACAGAATAGCTGTATGTTGAGGTGAGACACAATGACTGATTCAATATCACCTACTGAGATTCCATAGCTGAGATTGTACTTGAATCCAAATCACCCAGTTTCAATTCAACACTGTAACTTCAGTGGTTCTGTGTAGTAAAAGCATAATGCCTTCTTTTCTTTTTTTGCCTTTTACACATCACAGGCCACTGATCTGTAAGCAAACCAAAGTGGAGACTTTTGCAACAGCCTTCTGTTGCACCCTTAGTAAATTGAGCAGACTTTTAACCACATGGCTTCCTGGCACTGCTTCTCCACATACATTGCAATGCAGCTACCTCAGAGATGAAGTTCTGCCAGGAAAGTCAAGTTGGATCTGTTCCTTCAAAGATCTTTGAGACTATATCAGGAAGGTCAGAAGGTCAACTTTTCTTTTAAAACATGTGCCTGTTTTGCTGAACTGTCTTGTAGATGGGGATTTGGGCTTTGCAATGTCCCTCTCATCAGTCAGTATATTATTCCTAAGGTAAATAGCCTGTCTTCTGTTTTCTGCCATGTGGAGAGTACCATATCTAATGCTTCAATTTAATTTTAAATTATGTTTGATTGTAGGTCAGACTAGTGTTATTTCTATCACTCTAGTGGAAGCATGAGGCTTATCATATTAAAAGTACTATTCTGTTCACCAAGTGAAGCTGAGGAGTGTTGATATTCTGTCATGCCATTCTATGCCTGTGGCTGCTTTCAAGCCACAGATCAAGTTAGCATATTACAAATATAGAACATTAGCAAATCTGGAAAGCAACATTAGCATCCTGGCAAGTTTAAACAAATAGAGATATTGAACTGACCAACCGTGATGTTTCTGTAAACAACCTCAGAGTTTTCCAACATACTTGCTGCATAGGTACACTGAGGAGCTATACACAAAAGTGACCCTTGGGTGCAGGTAAGTATTTGTTGGGATAATGATTGAAAATACAAAACTTGAAACCTGTGGGAATCATATATGAAAAGTCTTAATTGCTGCTAGATCTGGTTGGCTCCTGCCAAAATGTCGATGCATTTGGGTGGAACAAAAAAGAAAAGCAATCTAAATACTATTATGATATTTTGAAGCATGAAATGTTTCAGATATGTAGCTTAAAATGTACGTTGATATGTGCATTAAGTGTGGTTTTATAAATTGTTGTTACTAATTCTGCAGTTTCCGCTGTATCTCTTAAGTTGGAGCAACAAAGATTTATTGTAAAAAATATGGTTTGAAAGAAGGACTTTTTATCTTTCTGTATCAGAATGTTGAGGGATATTTAACAGGCTATGGAATATCTGCTTCTCGGACTATTTCAATCAAATATTCGTATATGAAAGGAAAAAAAATAAAAACCTTTACAAAATATTGCATGAGATCAGCTGGTTCCTTTCACTTGTAAATGAATGTTAGTTGAAAACTTGTCCTAACCTTCCATCAAATAAATATTAAGGTTGGAGAGAGACATGGGGCTTAACGGCTATTATTATGGTGAGCATATCTTGTGATCAGAGGTATCTTATGAATAACAGTTGCTGGAATATAACAATAGCACTATTGACCTCAGTATATATATTTCCTATTGGCATTTTCTTGGTCAGAATGAGAAAGAGGACATCAGATTAGACAGATCTTTGATCTGGTCCACTGTAACGTGTTTGCAGTATTTTATTTCCCTATTTATGTGAAATGAATATGAAAAAGAATGATTGTTTCTTGTGTTTCACAATGTTTTTCTTGAGCCAAATTCTTGTTTCACATACTGTGGAATTAATTCCACTGGCACCTTTAACAAAAAGATGTGCAGATCTTTCTATTGATTCAAAGTTTTATTTGAAAAAAATTGATGTGGGAGAGTTGGGAAGCATCATGCAGTCATATACGAAAATTAAGGCTGTGCTATACACTATGACTTCAAAACTCAAGAAAGGTATTTCCTCTTGTAACAAAATAGCATTTTCAGCACCTACAATGTGCTGTGCCAGCCTTAAACCTTTATCACATTTGGAAGGCCCCAGACAGAGGAAGGCCCTGTTAAGCTGTCTGCAGGACTCTGAGCTGCTGTGGTCTATGTGCTCAGTTAGGACAAATGGCACCAGAGAAAATATTCAGAAACAAGCATGAACATGTGTATTCAACACTGAACTTGGTTGGAACAAGCTTAGATCCAGCCTATGGCATTTGAAGCAAATATCTAGGTCCAAGGGGATGACTGTTACTTTTGATTATAACTCTGGGAAGTATGTTAGCGTATTGTAACCAACATCATTAAAAGGCTGATGCTGGGATATGCTGGCTGATATGCAAATTGTACTTGCTAATCACTAGTCTTTGTTGCAAGGCAAAGAACTACTCTGCTTTGAGAACCAAGAGACAATGGTGGTCAAAGTTATGGGCTATGTGCCTCACCTTCCTTGTGCCATGGTGGGAATTTGACTGGTCCAAGTTCTTGGAAGGGAGTCTTAGCCGTAGACCTTGACTTACATTAATAAGTCCAGAATTATGTCCTCGATCCAAAATAACACGTGATCTAGGAAAAACTATAAGAGACAACACTTCAATGCCCAAAGAAAGAGTACGGTTTTCGACTCGGGATTGGTCACCTTGTACAAAAGACATCCAAAGCCATTCCCATACTTTCAGAAAGAAGTCTAGTACAGGGATGGGGAACTATGGCAACTTTATGACCTGTGGACTTCAACACCCAGAATTCCCCAGCCAGCCCCAGTGTAAAGGCAAAAAAAAAAAAAAGCATCTCTCCAGAATCAGATACCCACAGTTGATCCCAGAGCAGAAACATGCAGCCTGTACATGGGTCCCAGTCTATTCTAACTTTCAAGCCTGTCTACATCCATTCTTTTGCCATAGGAATAGAGAAACTCAGAATTAAATAGGGAAAGGTGCCAGCATGTCAAACAGGTGCTTTATTCTTTATAGTTTCATAATATCTTACCAGAAATGAGATGGGCACTTGCTGTCTTACTTCTGCTCCAATGAAGCATAACCGCTGTTGTTTGCCAGAGGATGCTTACTTGGCCTGTAGTTTTTAATCTGACACTTGTCACATGCTGCATCGTGATAATTTCAGAAGTGCCAACTGGCCTTTGGAAAACTTCAACTTCTGACCTGGCAAGCATCCAGGCAAGCATCCAACTTCTGACCTGGATGCTTGCTCTAATCAAGTGTTTACTTGAGTATAGGCCAAGCTGCTCTCCGGTTATACATGTTGGTATTAAAATGTATAAAGCACTGCTCATAAAAAATTTTGTCAATAAAATTAGCTTATTATTCTTCAGTAATCTCACAGAAGGCAGAATCCTTTTGCAGAAGATGATTGCCAGTTCATGGAAAAGAAGGGTTGGGTGGGAATCTGTCATTTTACATCCCTCAGCCCAGTGGCAAAGATATTACAGTGGCAAAGAGCAAGAGGATACAAGAAAGCCTCTCATATCAACCACTGTTTAATCCATAATTAAAGATATTAATTAGCATCTCTGTGAAGAATTTAGACTTGACAGTACAAAGACTGCAGCTCTCAAGTGAACCTTAATGATGAGATAATTTTCTTTCATGAATCCTGAAATATCTCCTTGGAAATTCGGCATTAGTGGCACTGATGCTTAGAACCTCACAAGGGACAGCAAGCTGCGGATGAAGTTAGGAATTAACTCTGTATCTTCTCTTTGCATTTTATTCTGCCTGCTCTTTTTCTTGAGCTTGCTAATCTCAGGCTCTTTACATGTGTTTGCTTATGCGCGCATGCGCGCGCGCGCACACACACACACACACACACACACAGATGCACACAGACACACATGCCTACAGAGATCCTAGTGCCCACTGATAGGATGTAGCTGGCTTTGTCTATCTTCACTATTTCTTTAAATAAATACATCTTTTCTGTTACCAATCTACCTCACTAATCCTGATTTAGACTAGTCAAAATCATGACCAAATTAATGCTAATAGCCCTGAATATTTATTTCCATACTTTTGGAGGTACAATGCTACGATCTATCTGCCGAGAAGACTTGTGTTTTAATGTGTGATAATCTAAAACAGCACTTTGTTACAGCTATAATTATACTAAGTTAGACCTAGAAGATCAACTTTGAGAAAGTCAATTGTGCAGAAAAGTTTCATTGTCAGGAAAAAGAACACCAGCCTCTGCATCAAAGGATGTTGAATTAACTATGTAGGCTTCCTATTAATAAATTGAGGAAAATACGCGGACTGCAAAAAGCTTACAAAAAAGGGGTAATATCAGGACCCCTGATCAGCATAATGCATATTTTGTTTCTGAAGCTCTTAAGAGCACATTGTCCTGAGAGTAGAAATATTTCTGATGTGACACCTGGTAGCTGTCTGTTGAATAAAACACCATTTTAAATTGAGCAATTATGAAAACGGTAGCAGCTCTTTTGAAAATGTGTATATTCTCTGGTTTTCATAAGCTTTAAGAAGCAGAAAAGGGTTTTGCAAAAGCAATGAATTTCACAGTTCATGCACTGACTCCTTTCTTCCATAAATCTGTTGAAACTCTTACAGGGAATGAATCTAGCTCATTGTGTTAAACATGAGAGCATCGATTGAGGCTTGGTAAATTTTTCATGTGTAAACAGGAATCGCTAAAGCTAAAATTACCCCTTACTACAAACTCCACATACAGACCTTTATCATTCATGGTACCATTGTAGGTTTCTCATCTCTGTCTATCAACCCTATCTTTTCAGTTTGGAATCTTTGCATTCTTCGTAGATATTGTGAATAGACCAAATCTCATAATCTCTCATGACAGATAAATTACAGAGATATACAATACTATAATCAGGCATTACCCAAGAGAAATATGCCATGACCTAAACAGATGTCCTCTTTAAAAAAGTGATATTACCAACAAGCTTTGAATGGCTAAACTTTAAGCTGCACAGAGACTATAGTTAATTATTCTTCCATTCAAAATGCAAGTGGTAAAGAAACACCACCACCACCCAAGGGGAGGGATACATTACTGGTTTATTGATAATTTCTTCCATAGCACAAAATGTTAGACAAAAAGGATTAATCCAGATGTTCCTTGTACTAAGATAAAAGTAAAACAAGATCTTCCTTTGTTAGAAGAGAGCTGGTCGATTATTTATGAGCACTAATGAAAATTGTAAAACAGTCAGAGGGCAGATGAACACAAAATAAAGGACTTGGAGCAGGAAGCTAGCCTGCCCATAAATTCAATTCATACCAATAAGAATGCATAATGCTTAGGTGTGCAGAAGAATTGCTCAGTGTTGTGAGCATGCTGTTCTATTTTTCCACATTCTGGTGCAATAGATTTCTCTTTAGCAGGACATCTTTGCTATATTGAAATCGTTCCGATAAACCATAGAGCTGATAAAAAAATAACCGCAGCAAAGGAAGCAGCTGAGAATGCCCTCTTAATGGAAGTATAACAGAATCCATGGGTTGAGTACATGTATTCAAAAGAATCTAGGTCAGCGGTTCTCAACCTATGGGTCGCGACCCCATTTAGGGTTGATCGACCATTTCACGGGGGTCGCCAAGCAAGGCTGTCCGCCATTTTTCCCCCTTTTCCGGTGGGTGCCTTACCTCCCTTGGGCTGGGCCAGCTGGTGGTCAGCCTGCTCCGTCTCTGCCGCTTGCCAGCTACGCCTCGGTCGGCGCAGAGGGCGGAACCACGCATGCGCGGCGCTCCCGGGCAGGGAAAGTCCTCGACTTACGACTGGTTGGGTAGTCCTCGACTTACGACCGGTTTAGTCCTCGACTTACGACTGGTTGGGGGTCGCGGCATTAAAAAGGTTGAGAACCACTGATCTAGGTTATCCCCACCCAACAGCCAACAACACTTCACAAGAAGCCCAATTTTATTTTAGAACAATATTTTTAATTGTAAAAACATAATCT